AAGTCACCTGCCATTAGCAGAATTCGCGCACAATAACAGATATCATGATGCCATCAAAATGTCTCCCTTCCAGGCGCTCATGGGTTACCAACCTTGGCATAATATTCCCACTGTGGGAACAACAGATGCTCCAGACATTGCTTCTAGACTCACTCAGCTAGCACATCTTCGGACAGAAATTCAATCCAGTATTCGATTAGCAGAAGAAACAGTCAAGAAACAAAATAAGGATAAGTTTGTTGAATACACACCTGGACAGAAGGTTTGGTTGGAAGCAACCAACCTCAAAGGACTCCATCCAAAAGCCAAACTTGGACCAAAATGCTATGGTCCCTTCCCTATCGATCAGAAACTGTCATCAGTAGTTTATCGGCTAAAGTTACTGCCCAAATGGAAGATTCACCCTGTATTCCATGCCGGATTACTCTATCCTTATTTGGAAACAACAATGCATGGGAAAAACTACCTCTGACCACCCCCGGAATTAATCAAGAACCAGGAGGAATTTGAAATCAAACGTATCATTGATTCGAAGACGGTTGGCAAGCGAACATTATACTGGGTAAGATGGAAAGGATACCCGGCCTCGGATGACTCCTGGCTCCCGAAAGCCGAACTTTCACATGCCAAAGACGCTTTGGCAGACTTTCTGCAACCAAACAAAGGATGAATCCTTATAAGAGAAACCGCCTCCTGCTTTCTCCAATGGCATCTACCACTATTCTCACCGCATTCCTCATCCTCGCCTGGTTCCTTTTTGCTCTCCTTGTTCTCATCCTCACCATCGCCTTCCACTACCTCAAGGCGACATACAAAGTCGAGATCATCCTCACCCGACAACCCACCACTCCCACCATCGACCTAACCCCCGAGTGGCCCACAGGAGCACAAGTAAACTCTCCAGACCCTCTCGTTCCTACCCCCTTTACTGACTTATTTAGTGGTGAACCAACTTGCCCCCGTCACCACTGCCGTCGCCGTCATCGTCGACAACCACCCCCACCTCCTCCTCCTCACCCTTCTAGGGCTAATCCTCATCACCCTTCTCTCCACCCTCGCCCTTGCCCTCACCGTCCCCCTCCTCCTTCGGC